TTTGCATTCTAGCCCCGATACTCCCGATTTCCTGATTACTTTAGCAAGGCTTTAAGCTACCAGACAGCCAGGAAAAATAGATCTTTCATAGTCGAAGTTCTGCTTGCGACTTTCCGAACTTTTGTTAAAAAAATTTGTAAGTTAAGTTGCACTTACTACGCTGTAAGAATAACTTATACTTATATTCATAGTCGTTATTCTAAATTTATAAATAAGATATATCGGTAACTCCAATTATAATATTGATTGATATACTTAGGGGAATGATGTCTAGGATCTAGTGATGTATTTAAAGTGGATTTTCTAAACGATATACTATGTATACCATACAGATTTTACCTCCAATATGATCTTACATTGTTGTTCCTTATTTGATAGAATTTGAAATATTTCTTGGGATTATTGAAGAATCCTAGAATAGTTATAAAACCCATATAAATTGAACGAATACTAAGACGCAATAATATTCATATTTTGTTGATGGAAAGGGATAAGCTTAAGTATTAGTCGGGGAGCTAGATTTCTCGTATCTTCCACCTCGATCACGTGAGTTCATAGTTACTTTCATGAACATGATTTTAATACAAGTATTTACTAAAAGTATTAAGTAGTTGTTAAAAGCTTATATGTGATCTATATGCTTATTGTTTGGAATATGTGTTTGATGAATTTTTATAGCATGCATTATGCAAACCAGATATCGTTATAGTTGTTAAGTGTATACATGATATATTATATGACAATGTTAATAGAAGTATTATTACTTAAAAGATTTGTATATACCTGATACTTTGTGCTAAATATATACACTAAATTAAGATAGTGTTGTAGAAACAGAGTTGGTATTGGATGTGGACAACCAAAAATGGTATGCATGTATCAAACATTTGTTAGGTGCCTAGATGACCAGTCATCTATACGAGTAGGATGAAGACCACTGACTAAACCCATTGTTGTGGTATTAATGAATAATATTGATCTAAATTAATATAATTGTATGTTCATTCGATGTACTCTATCCGCCCATGGCTGCCTTTATTGACTAACGCCTAGGACTCCCCAACTTGTTGCTTACAATATTCATAGGATAGATCTTATAAGATCACCAATATAGGATTAGTATATGAGGATCGACGGGGTGGGTAACTAAGAGTAAAATGTTTTATAGATGTTACGATGAGTTGTTGGTTAACTGATGGTTTTGCAGGATCATTGATGATTTTCATAATAATATTGTAGAATTGAAAATCCTACGTATCTCACCAAGTTTTCCAACTTTACCTACTCAATTTATAAGCATCACAGCTACCGGTATTAAGACTGTCAGAGACTCAGAATGGATGTTGAGTGATTAATGAAAAGACTTGTAATAGTATTCAGGATCGTTAAGTCTTTACGATGTAATTTATGTTGTGTATCGATTATGACATCCTTAGCATTTTATTATTTGAAAAAATCATTTGGAACTTCAATAGTGATGTCACACCTACAATTATGATATTTATCCCACCTTAGTACTTGTTTGAAGCATATTTCTTTGCACTCATACACTAATCCACACTCACTTTTCAATAACATTTCATCTTGATATCTTCCTTTAATGTCCTTAAAATTGTATCGGGATTGGAGATTATTTTCTTTAAATAACATTATGGAATCCAATAATGGTTGATAAGGGACCCAAAACATAGTTTCTTGAACATACATGCTTCTACCTTCTCATTTATTGATATTATTTTGAATAAAGTTTCATGATTTATGAATGAGGCCCAAAGCGTACATGTATACTTCCTCACTTTCTTATATCCCATATCTTCCTCTTTAGTTCTTCTCTTAGACACCATAACAACATTCTCATGTGGTCATTTATCTTAAACCTCATCTGGTAACCAATCCCAATACCACAATTGGTTAAACACACTATCAATTGCACAAATATTCAAATTTCGTTCCTAAAAGAGATTTCATCGATTTCCAACGGATGGTGGGATCAAGGTTTAATATAAAACACCATTTTCGATAGATTTCTAATAATCTCAGTATCATCTACTTGATTATCACTCAAAAGTTTATTGAATTTGACATTGCTCTTCACTTCCATGCAAAGCAGATACAAGAAGCGGACATCAAATGTGTCATTCAAGGTAGCCATAACGTGTGTGTGTCTATATATATATATATATATATATATATATATATATATATATATATATATATATATATATATATATATATATATATATATATATATATATATATATATATAACTCTTTAAATATTGGCTTTGAATAAAGTTAGTTCCCCTTGTTTCAAAAATCTTGCTTCAAGTTCAATCTTCATATCAGAAAAGCATGTTTTCACAAACCTCATTTCGTTATCTTAAATATAGATAGTGTGTGGAAAAATTAGTTGATAACGTTTTGTTAAATGCTACATGAGAGCCATTAGTGACAAACGAGATTTTTTGTTCAAGATGGAGCATTTTCTCGAACGCTAGAAGCTAGAAGCTTGAAGCTCTCAAATGCTCCACGTCAAACAAGCCTATAAATTTCAACTAAGCATCGTTCACGCAAGAGTGTTATCAGTTATTTATTAAATTATTATTTTTCTATAAATTCATTTATGATATATATATATATATATATATATATATATATATATATATATATATATATATATATATATATATATATATATATACACCACATCACATTCAGATTTAGATGAATATCCACACACTTTTACTCAACTTAAAAAATATGGCCATTATAAAATGTTCTCGTTGTAACTTGTCTATCTAATTTTTAATATCTTTGAAGATACACACAATTTATATGAATATGCACATGTTTTTCATCAATTTGAAAAATATAACCGTTGTAAAATGTTATTTTTGTATCATTATTGTTTGATGTTTAATATCTTTAAATTTACACACAATTTAGATAATATCCACATTTTTTTCCTTAAATAGAAAAATATGAACATTATAAAATATTATGTAACTTGACTATCTAAATTTTAAATTTTATATTTACACACTATTTAGATAAATATCCACTCATTTTCTTCGATTTGAAAAATATGACCGTTATAAAATGTTACTATTGTAACTTGATATTTTGATTTTTATAATCTTTACATTTACACACAATATAGATGAATATCCGAACTTTCCCTCAACATTAAAAAAATATGATTGTCATAAAATGTTACCTTTTGAACTTAACTATTTGATTTTAAATATCTTTACATTTCTAGCCATTATAGCATTTATATATATAGGAGCTTGCACAAATGAAACAACCACAAACATATACACCCATGTCTCGTAACCGGGAGAAAAATCGCAACAAAACCAAATATATTTCCATAATCTTGCTGCAACATGACAATATCAATTTCAAATGAAGTTTTTTTGTTCTATCACATTAAGTGTTAATAACATTTCAATCGTAAGTTTCCTTTTATTTCATGCAACTTATGAGTCCTTACAAAATTAACTTTTATCATATATCCAAGAGACCATATGAATTTTGTTGATGAAAATGAAATCGTTCTATAAATTTTAATGCTTTTTTGTAGGATCTAATGGCTACGCTACTGGTGTTAGAGGAAAACATGTCTGCCGAAAACATGTCTGCCCCGACCGGAGTCTCATCCTTTGGAACTTGATTCCGATGTATCGGTTACATCATCATGTTGTGGTTTCAATTCATTTTCAAATCTGATGGGTTTCCGGTTTGGGTTTAACTAATCGACACAAACTCCTAATTTAAAGCCTACTCTTGATGATAAAGCGTTGGATCATTATACTGATACTCCTAATTTAAAGCCTACTCTTGATGATAAAACGTTGGATCATTATACTGATAAGCATCTCGAAGGCTTTATCTTGAAAAAACTGAAACTATTATACAATGAGGGTATATCTAAGCTAGCTTGTTTCATTAGGTTATCATGATAATGCTATTTTAGATGATGCCTTGAGAAATTATCATTGGTGTGGGAACATGTATCCATTGACTAACTTTCTGGATATAACTAAGTTATATCTCGCTACGCTAAGTCTGAGTACTACGGAAGTGGGTGTGATGATAAACGAGTTAATACTAAGAAAGTGTTTGCTAATCCGAAGCAGTTGATAGAAGCTTCACACTACTAGAAAATTGGTGCAATAGCTACAACACAATCCGTAGCTATTCTGTAGCTATAAGCGGATAGCTACGGAGCGGATAGCTACGGAATTGCTACGGAAAATTGACTGTAGCATAATGGCCCGTGGCTAAATTATAGCTACGGATTAGCTACAGAATCGCTACGGAATATTCCGTAGCTACTATAGCTACGAAATAGCTACGGAATTAAATAGCTACAGATTTCCTACGGAATAGTTACGGCACTAGATAGCTATGGAAGTAAATAGCTACGGAACAAAACAGCTACGGAATAGCTACGAAAGTAAATAGCTACGGAAATCCGTAGCTAACTTCGTTTTATTTTAAAAAAAATAATTAAAAATTTTACAATTTTTTGTCAAATACCACATTCAATTCACATTTGTCCCAAATACCATATAAAATACACGAAAAAACGTCCATAATACCAAGTTTGACACATTCCAATCCATTATCAAAAATATCTTACAAAAGTAAGCACTACTTAACAAAACAAACAATATCAAATGTTTACAAACTAAACTGTTCCAAAATACTTATCAATTGTCCTCAGGTGGATTATCGGGGGGGGGGGGGGGGGGGGTGGGACGGGGTTGATTTCCAGACATATTCATCATCCTCATAACCATTTCCATTTGTTCTTTCATTTGTTGTTGTTGTTGTTCCATGGTAGAAACTTGTGCACGCAACCTATCAACCTAAAAAAATGGCAACACAATGCAATAGTTAAACAATATTAGCAATGTACTTTAGTTTATTATATCAATATTATCAAGATACTAATTAACGTTTAAACCATAACAACATACCTCTTGTTGTGTACTATCCGATTGGGTGGATTGGGAAGACGGTGTCCCAGTAATCACAAAATGTATATCTGATGCTCGATCCTATGCCATAGATATCACCCTTATTCTTTCCTTTTCTCCTAAGTTGAATTTCCTCCCATACCCTCGCATCATCTTTATGGTTTGAAGAGTCTTCTCCGTGTTTTTTTACCATCTCCTGTAGATACATCTCCTACAAATTACCAAAACAGTATCATTGTCATGTACAAAAATACTAAGACAATCAATATACATAAATGATAAAAGATAAGTTACTTGTGCTTCTTTGGCAGTTAGTGAGCAATATTCGAGATTTTCATGATCTCCCGCAAAATATCTTTTTTTCGCCTCAGCTGTGCCATGCGTCTTCATGAAAACATCAAATTGTGTGGGTGGTTTACCCATCATCTTTTCCTACATTAAATACAAAGTATAGTTGATGTAGTTAGTGTTAAAAAAAATAAGATAATAAAATTTATAATTATGATACTTACTAAGTTGTTACGGTGCTCGTCAAATCCTATACTACCCGCGGTGTGCCTAGCTGTCGACCCATTGGCATCTGCGACTTTGCGGTTCTGCTGAGTAATTTTTGAATTCTTTCTCCACTTATCTGTCGACCAATGATGTGAAAAGAAAAAAAAATATAAGGATACTAATACAATAGGAAATTAAAATTCAACAAAATAGATAATAAAGTATCATATCCATTACATCACACAAACGTCGCCACACATTCTCCGGTACGCGCCCAGGGCGGTAGTCATGCATCCCTTCGTAGTAGGTACAATGACCTAGGGGGACGGGTTTCCCATCATTTCGTGCCATTTCCCCAGATTTCGGGCATCAAACGTCGTTTTTTCTGTTTCGTTTTTTTCACACCTCTATTATACATGATTATCTATATTTTCACCAACTTATAGCTATTAATATCATTCATAAAGTCGTGTGCACATACGAGATCCATTACTCATTTAATGGTTTAATACGCTTATGATCTACATTCACATATAAATATGCACAAACACGTATACACACACACACATACACGTACACATATACCACAACTCTTTCATGTATGTAGATATACAAAAATAAATTCATCACAATTTGGTGAAAAGTATAGTAATTACATTGTTAAAACTGTGAAACGAATACTTGATCCCGAAGGTGCACATGACTTTATGAATGATATTAATATCTATAAGTTGGTGAAAGTATAGATAATCATGTATAGTAGAGGTGTAAAAAAAACGAAGCGAAAAAAACGACTTTTGGTGCCCGGAAAATAGAAAATAAAAAAATTTCGTAGCTAATCCGTAGCTAGAGTTGCTCCGGATTTTTATTATTTTTGATTTTCCTGGCATTAAACATCGTTTTTTTCTCTTCGTTTTTTTTTCCACCTCTATTATACACGATTATCTTGATTTTCAACAACTTGTAGTCATTAATAGTGTTGATACAGTCGTTTGCACCTTCGAGATCCTTTATTCATTTAATGGTTTAATATTATATCCGTAGCTATTCCGTAGCCATTTTGTAGCTAATTAGCTACGGAATAGCTACGGGTTAACATCCGTAACTATTCTGTACCTACGGAATTGCATCCGTAGTTATTCCGTTACTAAATTAGGGCGTCCCATTTTGTAGCTAATCCGTAGCCATTCCGTAGCTAATTAGCTACGGAAATTTTCCGTAGCTATTATCAATAGGAAAACACCCTTTTTTTCTAGTAGTGCCACTCGTTTCTTTAGTGTGTTTGTTGAGAAAAAATGATACATTTATGAACAAAAGGGATGTTGTGTGGTGGTTACTTGTGTCCGCCCTTCATGTAATGTGTGTCAACTAAATGAAAATCTCCTATGCTCTAAACCCTAATGATGATGGTGATGGTGTCCATACAAAAATAGACTATCAGCATCTAATTTGGTAAGATCCCACTCCATCAATGCTCATATTGAATGTTAATTAAGGAGTGTTCCCGAGTTTTACAGTGGCTATATTTGATAAACTACCAAGGGATGTCGGAAACTCGTCGTATAATTTGTTGTTTGAAAGAGAAATATAGCCAAGGCTCTATATCTATATTGGGTGATAAAAGTAGATTGTGACCTTCACTAAGTCAAATTATATTCTTAATTAATAAGTTTGTAAATATATGTGGAGCCCTATATTAACTCTCCAAAAAGATCCCTTGTGGAGAGAACGGACCTTCAACATATATAGAGCCACTTATAAGACCATGTCACACCAATGTGAGATACAATAACAAAGTTATCTTAAGCTACACGAAAGAGTCTTTAATGACATTTATTTACTATTTCAAATACAATCATATAATATGAATGTGGTACATTTTAATCTGATGTCAAGAGTTTGCATGTTTATGGATGCAGATATATTTTGGGATTAGTTGGGCCTCCAGGTGTTGGGAAAACCACTATTGCTTTAGAGGTGGCTAAACATGTAAACACGTTATGGCCTAAAAATCATGAGCATTTGATTCTCAAGTTGAACCTCCACAAATTTGCAAGTTAAAATCACCACAAATTTTCATATTTGGCCTTAAATCAAGTTGATAGTTGAAATTCTAGACTAATTTGGTGTTGTGTTTTTGCAAGTTAATTTGGATTTTAGGTGATTTTCCATGCCCATTAACATATAGGGGGGTCTAAATGGATAACATCTTCTTTCAGAAATTAACCGATCCAATTACGATTAGGAACTAACTAATTGGATTGGATATCCAATTACAATCGGATTGGAACGGATGCCAAATTTCAAAATCCAATTGGATTGGATCGATTATTGGATCATCCTTAAAATCCAGTAGAACCGAACAAGTCTACTCCAATTGGATATCCAAGTTTAATCCAATATTGTTAACCAGATCCAATTAATATAATTAATTATTTGATAAAAAATAAGTTAAAGACTTGAAGTTAATAAAACGTGCTTAGCCTTATTTAGTTGTGTGCGATTTTATTTTTTGTTATCATAGTTATATTTGGTTATTCGAAAAAAATTGATTGCAATTGATTAGATGACAGGTTAAACCTATCAAAGTATCCAATAGATAAAACCATGCAACATCCAATTAGATTGATTTGGTTGACAAAATCCAACATCCAATGGATGATTGCATTGGATTGATTCAATCAAAATCCATTGGATTTGAACATATGAACACCCCTACTTCTTGAAGTCAAGAGAAACCAGAAGCACATAATTCTTCAGGAACATGATAAAGGGGTCATCTTCATCCTCAAGCATGACATTCATAAACCTGGAAGACTTTTCAATTTAATTGCATATGCCCAAGTGCATTTGATGATGCTTTTGTGTATCAATTGACTGCAAAATACAAAAAGATAGTTTTATCACATCGAAATGCTTATAAGATGGCTTAGGGTGCATTTTAATGCAATTTTAGTAAGATAAAATGTTAATGTAGTTTTGTTAAATAGTAACTAGGTTTCAAGTTTGTTCCACCTAACTGTATACAATTTTTTTGAGCTTTGATCAATAAAGTATAGTTTTTTTTTCCTTTTGCTTATGTGAAGGTAGTATAAAAATATAACTTGTTTAACTCTTTGAGATTTGTTCTGTTAAGTTAGAAAGTAATAGCTTGAGTAGTCTGATTGAGACTTATACTTAACAATGGTTAGGCTAAGTTCAATCTAGTCTTGATTAACAAACATTAAGCATTATAGAACTTTAAGAATTCATATATTGTGGTCCTTCATATTGATTTCAAGACGTTGATATATACCGTTTAAGATTCATCCAAACAGACTTTCATACATGTATTGATCCATCCATATTTCACACCTTGAAATATAAAAGCCAATGAAGTAACTATTTCGATTGGCCATCATGTTCACATCCATATTCTATGTGCTCCCTGGCTTTGATATCTTTACCTCCTATGCATATTCCCAAAGCCTACAATAGTGATCTTTAACCCACCTTGGTACTAATTTGAAGCTCTCGTACACTGATCCACACTCACTCTTCAATTACATTTCCTCATGATATCTTCCTTCATTGTCCTTAGAATTGTATCAACACTGGAGAATATTTTCTTTAAATAACATTATACAATCCAATAATGCTTGACAAGGGACCCCAAAACATACTTTCTTGAGCATATATGCTTCTAGCTTCTCATTTATTGATATTATTCCGAATAAAGTTTCTTGATTAATGCATGAGGCCCAAAGCATAAATGTGCACCTCCTCACTTTCTTACATCCCAACCTTTCTCTTTGGTTTCTTCTTTTAGACACCTTAACAACATTCTTATGTGGTCAATTATCTCAAACCTCATGTGGTAACCAATCCCAACACCGCAATTGGTTAAACGCACTTTCAACTGTTTAGATTTCATTCCTAAAATAGGTTTCATCGATTTCCGATGAATGGTGGGATCAAGGTTGAATATACAGTGTCATTTTTTATAGAAAAATGTTTAGATTAGCTTTATCCGGTATCAAAATGAAATAAGTTGATATGTTATTTTTAGTAATGAACAAACTCTAACTTTATGAGAAATAAAAAAACAACTTATTAAAAACTCCTTAAATAAGTCAATAAATAACTTATTAAAAACTCCTCCTTATTTGAATCAATAAGTGCTTATAAATTTGTTTTATCCAAACCCTAAAAACTCATTATTGTCACTGCCAAATCACTATAAGAAATCCCAAAAACCCACTAAGATGGATTATAATAGGGAGTGAAAAAAAACCTAAAAACAAACATTATATGTATTATTGGTCGTCAGAAGCCGCCGCCGTCTACCACCGATCTTTGTCTGCATCGGTTACTCTAATGTCACAGGTATTGGTTTGTACTCTCATTGCTTTGCTGGTAATCCACCTCACTTGGTATTTTGCTGTGTCGAACTAGGTTCCACTGGTTTGTGCCACTTTTGTTGGTCGTCACCGCCTCACCGAAAGACTAGACTCCGCCATTCTCCAGAGATTGGGTGGTTCAAATCCGCTTCAGCCTGCATTCTCTTCGTTTTTATTATTTAGGATTATATCTACTTTGTATTGGAAAAGTAAGTATGAGCATGAAGCATTATAGCAATGTTGGCTACTAGTCAAAAAAGTAAAACCACTTTGTCCGTTTTGTGCCTCGAGCACTTGGTTTTGAAGTTTAGGACTCGATAAAAATAAATATATATTTTCTTTTTATTTTATTTCATAGTTTTATAGTTATATATATAATTAATGAAAATCCGTTCCAATTTAAAAAAAAATTCGACATGTTTATTTTGTAACCTATTTGAGTTGGACACGAAGCAATCCCTTGGCTTGGCATATACATGCATGCTTCATCGAGCCTCGTTTCGAGGGGAGTACTAGTGTATCTCATATTGATACGACATAGTTCTATAAGTTTAAAAGTAAATACGAGACTTCATATATATCTTACAATATTACATATATTCACACACAAGTGAAGAATGTGAAATAATATTGTATTACTCGTCATACGCTACTTGTCGGTCGACTGCGAAGTAGCAAGTACTCGGCCTAGATGAGAAATATTTGACTAGAATAATTGTTAAATCGTTTAATTAGTATTGGGGAAACTATATATATATATATTACAAATAAGTTGATAACGGTTCAAAAAAGGTAAATATCGATAAAAAAAATACATATAAAACATAGGGGTGGCAAATCGGGTCATCGTGTCGTGTTTTTGACTGACACGACACGACGCGATGTAGTTTTTTTTTTTTAACTAACACGAAAAAGAACTGATTAAAAAACAACAAACACAAAACGACATGATAAAGATGACATAAAATAACA